TTCATATCTAACGCAATTTGTTCATATCTATCTATCTATCTATCTATCTATCTATCTATCTATCTATCTCAGCCATACTTCAGTTGATGATAGAATGAACCCCACCTCTATATGTGTTTAATATTACATTGGTGTGGATGTAATTAATTAACTACGTAGTACAGCTTAGCGTATAAAACCAAGGAGATATTTTAAAGGCATTAAAAAAAAACAAATATTGCGCTTATATATTAAAGACGATCAAATACGGTAATCTGTTTCCTTTTCCACATTTTCTAGTAATTTGCTGGCGATTGGTCAACCTAAACGCTCATAAATTTGGACCAATATTCGACCGCCTTGAAAAGCTTGTTCCCCTCAATAAACTGTTCAATCAAAAATATATGCTCGAAGAATATAACGAAACATTTAAAGAAACTCAACCTCATAAAAAATTCAATATAGGCACATTGCACGAATTTTCATTGCCCGTAAAGATTGCAGAGCCGTTCCAAAAGTTGCAAAGACATTTACAAAATTATACTCTAGTAACATTCCGATTACCACTCATAGACACATATACAGATAAGTATTAGAGATACGAAGTAGCGGAACGGTTACTGTAACGGAAAAAAGAAATTAGGGATTCAAGTTCTAATTTTGATTAAGCTGCATATGTTCGATGAGAATAAATTCGATTGGAAAAAATCTCGAATCCAGATCTCCTTGCATTATGTGCCATCACCAGGTATCTCGATAAAAAGATTTATAACACTTTGATCACATAAGAAACACGTGAGACATCTGGTCAAGGAGGTAATGGTGTAACACACACACACACACACACACACACACACACACACACACACACACACATATATATATATACGGAATAAATACACACACACACACACACACACATATATATATATATACGGAATAAATACATATATGCATGTATACGGAATAAATACATATATATATAATACATATATATATGCACATATATATATATACATATATAATACATATATATACATATATATATACATATATATAATAGATATATAATACATATATATATATAATACATATATAATACATATATATAAAATATATATATGTATATATATATATATACGGGATAAATACATACATATATATATATATATATATATATATATATATATATATATAATTATTTATTTAAAAATATGATTCCAACTCGCGACATAAGCGGTCTCATGTTTCAAAACAAGAGTCGAAAACTTCAATATAATTATTTGAATTAAATTGAGTTAAAGTAAGCTCTGTTCCATCTTCAAGCGAAATTTTTTTTGGAATAACGTATTTCTGAAATTTACGTGTTTTAATAATTGAAATCAAAATTTCCATGGTAACAGATAAGGCGAATTGCTTAAATTGGGTAGGCGTGTGTTGGGTGTTAATAATAAGTATCAGTATAGAGTTACTTAGATGTCAAGTCGGGGTGAGGTGGGGGTGTCTAAATTTGAAACGGAAGATGTTTTAGCCTTGTCTGGTTTACGTGTCTATGGAGATTTATTTATTTTTTTATTTTATTTCTTTATGAAAGGGATTTGTGCATATAATAAAAAAACAAAAAAAAGCAAAAAAAACTGCCGTAACATTTGATTTTTGACGACTTCATAAAGGGTTATCTTTTTTGTAGGGTATTTAAACTATTTATTTGGGCTATGTATTATAAAAGTTATTATATTGTATGCTTGTTTTTAGCTATTTATTCAGACAAAAAACCGTTAACTCATGTCTATTGTTTAATAGATTATTATTATTTAGAAACTTAATAATGTGCAGTTTCTCATGGAGGCACAAAGGGCATGGGTCATCACAAGTTTTACATGTTCTAGCCTTGTTTATAATTTTCCATTTATACATATATATACATATATATATATATATATATATATATATATATATATATATATATATATATACGGAATAAATATATATATATATATATATATATATATATACGGAATAAATATATATATATATATATATATATATATATATATATATATATATATATATATATATATACGGGTATAACAGTAAAATTATCCAAATCGTGTAAGGTTTTATTTATGTTTTATATTTCGAATTATTTTCCTGCTTCCGGTACATATTTCAATATCAGGCTGGAAGTTTTTAGATTTTTGTAGTAAATGATCAGTTTAATATTTGGTCGTCATTAGTAATCCATTCGTGTATTAGATTTTTTTTTTATGTTTTCCCTATAATTTGTGGTTAGTGTGACATTGATTTCCTTGGAATAATTTAATAGTAGTTACGTTATTTTCATTTGTATTACTGGATGTTTTATTTATTCTAACGTTAGCTTAATTTGTTCATGGTCAATGTGTTTAGGGAAATTATTGTGAATTAACAATTTGCTTTAACCTTTTGAGTTTGTTAAGACATATTCTGCGTATAGAGGATATTAAATGTGGTCTGTTTATTAGATTATGATGGCTATTTTGTATCTTTGTGGACATTCACTGTTGTATTTTAGTAGGAAGGCATTTAAGTTGCGTGTTTTTTTTTTGTAGACGGAGATTCTAAGTTTTTTTTTTGCTTTTCGAGAGAAGTAGTACGTCTAAAAAAGTAATCCTGTTATTTATGCTTAAAGGTATCCTGACTTATATTCACTTGTGATCTTTTCAAGCTTCAGGGATCCGATTTCTGCATCGTTGGCAGTGAACAGTTTGCTAATGTGTTTTTTAAGGTTATCAGTATATTCCCAATATATATATATATATATATATATATATATATATATATATGAAATGGATTTTTTTAATCTGACATTATTTCTTATTTTTAGTTAGTATACGTGTTTCACTTGCTGCCCCAGTTGATTTATTTTTTCATTAAACAGTGAAATTAATAATAAACCGCCCTAGTCCGACCTAGAACTTTTCGATCTAGCACGGTTTTTATTAATTTCATATTTATGGAAATAAAGTCAACAAATAAAGAAACTGGGATAGCAACGAAACCTCGCGTACATACTAAAAATAATTGTATCTGTCTATATTTCTGAGATGAGGTATTATGTACACTATTTGCATTATTCGGACTATTGTCCTCATCTTTGTTGCCATATTTATCACAACGTTTCGGCCTTTCAGTATTTGTCTATATTTCTGACATGAGGTATTATGTAAACTATTTGCATTATTCGGACTATTGTCCTCATCTTTTTTGCCATATTTATTACAACGTTTCGGCCTTTCAGTATCTGTCTATATTTCTGACATGAGGTATTATGTAAACTATTTGCATTATTCGGACTATTGTCCTCATCTTTGTCACCATATTCATAATAATGTTTCGGCAGTTGTACGCTCCGGTCTTCTTCAGGTGGTTGGAATGTCGAACTGAACCCTTTATTTCGCTCACTGGGGTAAACTGTTCTAGTTCCACGTGCCATGTTCAAAGACACATGGCACAGTGGATAGAGGCGTTAGTCAGATCCAGAGACAGGACCCAAAGAGTGTGAATTCAATACCCGGTTAAGGCAGTGGAGAACTTTCAGAGGGGAATTAACAGGAGATAACGGATAACTGACATCCATTAAAAACATGGCACGTGGAACTAGAACAGTCTACCCCAATGAACGAGATAAAGGGTTCAGTTCGACATACCAACTACCTGAAGAAGGTCGGAGCGTACAACGAAACCTTGTTATGAATACGTGATTTTTTTGTGACAAAATTTTTGTACGATAACAATTTTTATGACTTGGAGATACATATCGAACAATTAAAATTAATTGCGAAATCTAGCGAAAGTCACGCATAAAATAAAAATAATTGTTTGTACAGAAAGTAAGGACCTACATACATCAAACTGTCTTTAAATTAAGTGGCGACAGAAGCATTAACGTTGGACTTTTAAAAGGTAAGCTTAAATTTTTAATGCAATACTTTATTGCAGCGATTAAATTTGAGTTGTTTATCGCTATATATATATATATATATATATATATATATATATATATATATATATATATATATATATATATACTCAACTCTTCCGTCGTATTCGACATATGAGGGTCAAGCAGATCAGTTCCTAGAAAATCGACAGAACGACAACAGCACGTGAGATTTGATTATAGTGGTGAAGGTTTCGTGCAAGACCATTCACATTTTTTATACATAGACATGGTGCAATCCGTGCCACAAGGACCCCAATATATATATATATATATATATATATATATATATATATATATATATATATATATATATGTTGTGGATTCCGAGATGAAATCGGTCTCAAATGAATGACAAACGCAGGAATGAAATATAGCAAATAAATGTATTGACGTAATGATACAATTGGTAATACGGTTAGTAGATCAAGAAATGCAGTTAGTAGCAATAGTAATATATATATACAGTCTTGGAAATTCAGTATCGAAGTATGACTTCCTTCTGAGTCTACGTGCTCGCAACTGTGACTCCTACAAAGCGGTTACCTCACACTCTTACTCTCTCACTGTTTCACTCTATCAGTGTATCTCTCGTCCTACTCCCTGGGTATTCACCGGCAGCAGTACAAGTACACACTGGGCGAGTCCACTTGTATGAAAAAAGGGTGGACCCCTTAACAATATATATATATATATATATATATATATATATATATATATATATATAACAATTCTCGAAACGACCCGTTTATAAAAATCAATATTTCGATAAATAACTGAATGAAATTATTTTTAACGATTGAAGATCTTGAGAAACACATTTAGCATTTTGACAATTATCCCCATTCACTTTCTTCTCTCATACATTTAAAAAAAATCTCTTTAGATTACTTATTGTCTCCTCTATCCATCCTCTCTTCATTAGTCCTGTCCTGTGAGTGTTATTTTTCCAGGCCTACTTTCCTTATTACATTCCAGAGATGTCAGTTGTCTCTTTATGATTCTAAATATTCCCCTCTTGTTTCTATTTTTCTTAGGCTACGGCCACATCATATTGAAACACAGGTTCCCACACGACCACCGAAGTTAAGCAACGTCGGGCCTGATCAGTACCTAGATGGGTGACAACTTGAAAATTTCAGGTGCTGTAATCTTAGATGTGCCTATGGATAATGGTTAAGAATTTTTAATCGGAGAGCCGATTACCAATTCTGGTTGGCTTTGTTATTGTCACTTACGTGCAAATATCCTTTAGAAAGGTATGAATTCGCCTCTTCTCCTCCCAGCTATGGGTTAATTAGTTAAACGTGTATCACTAAACCTTTATTATCTCCCAAAACAATCATACAATGTAAAAATATTTTCTGGCTATTAATAACCGACAAAGGGTTGATAAGTCGTAAAATACGAATAAATCAATCAATAAAACATTTCCCTCATAATGTCTCTGTTGCTTACGTGTTCTTTTCCCAGGAGCGTTCTGTAGAATCATTTCTCTGTTGTTTTTTTTGTTTCTTCCTTGTTTGTGTGGAAATTGTCCAGTATTCACTGCCATATAGAAGGACTATAGCAGTTTAGCAGCACCTTTACCTTTGTTTCTGATTAATTTTCCTTTTTCTTAATACTTTAATTAGATTTTTAATGTCACCTTTTGCTATTCGAATATCCTTCCGAATTTCGATGTCGTATTTTCCGTCCTCTGTCTAAACAGCACCCAAATAATTAAATTTACCTACGTGCTTGATTATTATTATTCTTTCATCTTAATTAATGCTCAGATCGCAAATGTAATATTTGTTTATATCAATAAATATATTCTTTGTTTTTTAAGCAGTAATTTAAAAAAAATAACGAATTATTGAAGCAAGAAATAAATAAAAAAAAATAAACGGAATACACCTATATTTTGAAAAACTTTAGAAAACCCCAGAATATTCTGGAAGATTCCTTTAATTTTAAGTCGTCTCTGGCGCTGGAAATAATTTAGCTAGATTATATTTTGGCACTCAGAGGTGAAAAATAAAGTAAGAAAATGGATAACGAAAAAGTGTAAAGAGACAAGTAAATCACGTAAAGAAGAAATAACTACGTCACCCTACACATATGCACATATGCACACGTACAGGCATAAACACACATACGCATAGGCGCACCCGTACACATAGACACGCATACAAAGATAAAAATCCAAAACGAGAAAATTGGCAGACATTTGCTGATATCTCCGGACTAGTGGACGGAACGATTACATAAAGGTTCTTCTATGAAATTCCGGAATAGAGATACTGAATATAACATCGAATCAGCTAAATGACACATTTTATATTTGTATTAATCCTAGTAACACCCTATCTCTGATATCAAACACTTTATTGCAAAAACTGTTTGTGCTTACTTTAAATGTCCTTCCTTTTAAATTTTCACTGACTAACAGCATCTTTGTTAGCGCTATGCACACACACACAAGCCCGCAGACACACACGCGCACACGCACACACGCCCCTCCCATATATATATATATATATATATATATATATATGTGTGTGTGTGTGTGTGTGTGTGTGTGTGTGTGTGTGTGTGTGTGTTTGTGTGTGTGTCATTCAATAATACAGACATATTGTGTCTACTTATTTTTCTACTGATCCTTTCCGGTTGTCTAATCAGTTTCTTGATGTTAAGGTGCAATTCATTAAGGAAGGTTATACTTTCGATCTTTTTCCAAGATCATCTTCAGTGGTAAATTATAATTTTATATATACATATATATATATATATATATATATATATATATATATATATATATATATATATATATGTAAAAGTGAACAGTGAAGTCAACATTCAGAGGCGACAGAATGTTTCATGCTAGACCAATCGTTCAGCATGAAACAGCCTGTCGCCTCTGAATGTTGACTTTAATGTTCACTTTTGTATTTATATTCACATCCGCTCTATCTCTGATATTGAGCACTTTATCCCATAAATATAGCACATCTTAGAACTATATTTCTTCATATATATATATATATATATATATATATATATATATGGGTGTGTGTGTGTGTGTGTGTGTGTGTGTATGAATGTGAGCATGCGTGTATGTGTGTGTGTGTCTCTGCATGTGTGTAAGCGTGAGTGGACGTCTATTGGTCGAGAAATGACTGACTGCCTCTTCTCATAGAAGATCATTTCTGTGTAAAGGGTTAAAATTTTACTTGATGTTCCATATTTGTGGCGAGACTAAGCTCAGCTTGCATCTAAGATGCTAACTTTATCGTCTTGCATTCACATAATTTTATATAAACCTTATTTCTCACTTTTTTTGCTTCGCAACCTCAGTTTTTTTTCCGTTCCACAGCCATTGTCCCTTTCTGCATTCTCCCCCTTTTTTTAAAGTCTTTCTCTATTTCCCGCCACTACTCTCCTCATTCACGAATTACATCTTAATCTGGACTTGCCTCACTTTCAATATCCGTTTTCCAAATTTTTTTTTTCCTTGAATTATTTCTTTTGTTTTTTGTTTTTACTGGATACATTTATTTCCCTTTTATTTTTCAGTGGGCCACAATGGATTTTTTTTTCTAAAGAAAAACTAAACAAAACAAAAAAGCTTCTTGCTTATTTTGCGGATTTTAATGCTTTCTTAGCATTATACCCGCCCAGCATACATGCTAGCAACACAATTCTCCTCTCTGTATAAAATATCGATACCTTTTCCTGCTACCCATACAACTACTGCTCATCCTTACCTTTTGTGATGCTCATGCTCCATCGCTTGGCAAATGCGTTGAATTGTGTGCTGCTTATCGATTCCATTTTCGGATGCGGAGAGATACCAGGATCTGGTGTCGCTCGAGGGGAAATGCGAAAATCCGTATTGATGCTGGTTTTATAATCGTAGTTTTTCATTTACCCGCTCCTAAATAGTAAAATGTGCAATTATCGCAAGTTCCGACATAAAGCCTTTTCATTATTCCACATATTTTTCGGCCTTTGCTATTATTAACACAATATTTCGAGTTATGTATTTTTCTGTATTTTCCCTGAAGTATTCTATATCCGATCTTAGCTCGTGTAATTTGTCGTGGTGAAGAAGATTGCGTGTCTCCGTGATTCCGAGAGCGATGCTGTCGGAAGTGCTAATTTTCTTGCAGGGACATCCATGGCGCTAAAGTCGAAGAAGAGGGTAGAGACTACGAACGAACTAATTTAAAAGAAGTCAATGGCGGACGATGCACGTATCTTAAACCCTGAAGACTCCCACGAGAGTACACGGCCAAAAGATCAAACATGCTGGTTGTTGCTGTAGAACCCAGTCTATCCTGCCATTAACCTCTAGCTGGGTAAAGGCGAAGAGATGGAGTCATGCCTCTCCACGGGTATTTGTGTGAGTGGAAGCGCAACAGATATTAACACGACAATGTAATCGCTACGCTATATGCACATCCATATCGGTGGATGAAGCTACCCTGAATTCATTGGGGCGTCACAGTGGAAGAAGGCTGAGTTCCGTCAAAGAACTTGAGAACAGCTTGCTACTGCAATTACTTAAAATCGAATGCACTGATGTGTGGCCTCACCGCTTGGTTTTACTACCTGTCAGCTTCTTTTACCTTGCCATAATCGTCCTTGCGTCTTCCATTCTCTCAGTTTTCAGTCAGGGTAACTGATATAGTAATACTAGCTGTTTCCTTATAAGGAAAGATTTGGCATTCAGTGATTGATCAACCATTGCTAATGTTGGTTGAAATTAATAAAGTCTTTCTATTAAAACTGTTTTTCAGAGAAGCATTTTTTCAAGTCCACTAACTCTTATCTTTCTTTTAAGAATTCATTGGGGTTGCTTTTCTAACATTTTGATCGATGTGGAACGGCAGTATCTTGATGATGTCATGATTTTCCATTCAAGTTACATTCGATATCCATTTTAGTCGTTATCAAATGATGTGATTTCTCATAGCCTCCTTTAAAGCTGTCATTATCCCTAAGCAGTGATATGGCCATATGGATCGTTTGAAAAAATGAACGTAAGTTTTGGGACCTTTTTTCTTACCATTTTAAATTGTGTAGAAAGACTACTGACCTTCTCTCCACTAATTGTTGGACATGAACTCAGCCATCCGCTATAACTAGAACCTTCTTCTCATAGAAAAGTCCGTCGCAAAGTGAGTCACTGAAATACGGTATTTTCTACAGTATTTTCGAACTGAACCCTTTATTTCGATCACAAGGACACATGGCACAGTGGATAAAGGTGTTGGTTAGATTCAGTGACAGACCCAAAGAGTGTGAGTTCAATACCCGGTTAAGGCAGTGGAGAATTTTCAGAGGGAAAATTAGCAGGAGATAACTGATAACTACACATCTATCAAACATGGCACGTGGAACTAGAACAGTCTACCCCAGTGATCAAAATAAAGGGTTCAGTTCGAAATTCCAACCACCTGAAGAAGGCCAGAGCGTACAATGGCCGAAATATTGTGACAAATATGGCGACAAAGATGAGAATAATAGTCCGACTAATGTAAATACTGTACATAATACCTCATCTCAGAAATATAGACAGACGGTATTTTCTATTGCTAGATTATTAGTCAATGTGTCTTGTGCGATTAAATCCGTTCCTGACTCAAACAATTGTTTCTCCAGTGTTTCCTTAGAGTATTATTAACCAGAACTACCAGAGTTATATGAACTTCCTAACAAATATTTGTAAGTCATGTCAACAAAATCGTAGAATAGCTGCACATGCAATAAAAACTCAGTAAACATCAAGGATACTTGTAAAATCTCTAACATTGTCAGAAAATTGGTAGTGAAAACTTCTCTATCAACTTAATATATACAGTTTGATTTGTAATTATTTATTTGGTTTCAACTATTTTCATCGTATGGAATTTTTATAGATGTTTTTGTCTATTATATTTTAAATATGATCGACAAAATAATATATAATATTATTATTTTAATATATACACTTTTTTTTCTACACGTACTTTTTTGATTTTCCTGTTTGCTTCTCCTCGTCTCATGTCTTTCATTTTTTCTCAATTTTGATTTTTTTAAGCTGTTTATTCATTCCGAATATTAAATAAAATTTTATGGTATGTTATATATGCAGGTTTTCGTCAAGGTTTCGCCTGGATTTGTGG